GTATTAAACAGACTAATTTTATTGTTGGTTTAGCTAAAATCTTTGGGAGAGAAATTAGTCTTTTAGAGATTTGTGTTCATGAAATTTATGTTAAGTGAGAATATAATGTATTTGCTATTTCTTACAATGTTTTCTGAAAATGTATACACAAAACACTAAAATAGCGAATAAGTGTAATTTACTTTTGTGTGAGTACAACATAGTAAACAAAACAAATATTATCAATTGACGAACATGCCTACTTCCCCTACAAAGTGGGGAGGTAACAATTTCCAATTAATAAATAATTTAACTTAATTTATTGGGAAATTTTCATATATATTCTTGAAAACATTAAGAATTACGTATATATCCTTTCAAAGTTTATAATTACTTATATATCTTTCTTAACCTATTAAACTCTTATATATAATTATATATATATATATATATATATATATATATATATATATATATATATATATATATATATATATTCAATCTTACAATTTAATTAGATATAAGTCAACTTAATATCAAAAAATATAGTTAAATATCAAAAGCAAATATAAAGTTACCGAAATAACATTTTGCAAATAAAAGATTGAATTAAAATCATGGTTAACTATGATTATCTTGGCAACATGATTCTCCTTATCATACTTTACATCATGATTCTTCTTAATCATACATTGACTGTAGTTTGGGTCTTCTTCATCACATCTGCTTCATCATGTCTTCTTCACTAGTCAAGTTCGTTTTTCTCATCACAGGTATATTTATTACCGTTTTAATTAATTTTGGTTATATGTTTGAGTAGTTTTGAATTTTATCAACTGTAATCTCATTTTTTTCTTCTCTAAACATTGTTTCTACATGGACTGTTTCTGTAACGAATTACTACCATAAGGAGTAATTCTATAATGAATTTCTGCCACGGGGACCATTTCTGTATGCAATTTTAGCCACAGGGACCATTTATGTAAGCATTCTCTGCCACATGGAGTGATTCCATACTGAATTTCTGCCTTGAGGACCATTTCCGTAAGCATTTTCAGCCACATAGACTATTTTTGTGAACATTATATGCCATGTGGACTGATTCTGTAATGCATTTCCCTAATTTAATTTAAAATTTTCATTTATATCCTTATATACTTTCATAATTATGTCTATATCCTTATTAAATTTCAAATCATATATATATATATATATATATATATATATATTATATATATATATATATATATATATATAGTATTTAATATATCAAAAAATAAAAACACTATTTTTCAATTGATTTTATTTATTAAAAAATAATCAACTTGTAATATTACAATATTGTCTTTTTCCCACATTGTTATTTTCGACCTATTTAGTGCATAAATCCTTACAAAATATTGAGATCCATATTGAAATTAGTTTTTCATGATTTTTGTTTTAATTGAAGAAAAAGAGGAACATGAAGAACAAAACTGTTTAGACGAGAGTAACTGTAAATCTTATAAATCGATTGTATGAGATAGAATATATTATTTAGAAATTGATAAGAAATATGCAATCACCAGGCTTACTAATCGATTTTGAAAAACATAAAGCGCCAAAAAATCAAATCGTGAATAAGGAGGAGATTGATTATGGGTAGGATTGAAAGTGCGTATTGTAGTAATTTAATTATAGGGAAAAATGCAGAAAAGCTCAACCAGTTATATATATAATATATATATATATATATATATATATATATATATATATATATATATATATATATATATATATATATATATGTGCAGAAAAACCCTTATATAATTTTTATATTCAGAAAAACCCTTATATTAATAGTTATCATTCGAAAAAGACCAAAATACAAGGTTTTAAGAGAAATTGACAACTAAAAATCTAATGTCGATTACATTTTTGTTTATCAATACGACATTGATTTTAATTGGGATAAAAACAATTAGTTAAGAAAGAAAAAATCAAACATATTCAGAATACAATCGAATGAAAATAATCGAAATTGACATGTTTTTGCATATAATCAAAGAAATATAAGGGATATGTATATCATATCATATTTTTAGCTGATCGTTTCTTCTAAAAATCTATAATTTTGTTTTATTTTAAATGTAAATAATAATATAAGGGTTTTTCTGAACATAAAAATAATATAATGGTTTTTCTACATATACATGTATAATTGGTTGGATTTTTATGCATTTTTCCTTAATTATAATCTAATTTAATGATATTTTTTAATGTTTAAATATATCAGTTCTCGTTAAAATAAGTAATTATAAAGGTTTATAAAAATATAGACCAAATTATCTCTTTAATTCAATACATAAATGAATATAAAGATGTTATTTTTATTAAGAAAAAGTCCGAAGATAGTTTATAAGAAAAAGTTTGAAAAGGTTTCCAAAGTTGTTGGCGGGGGTGGAAGATTCTTGGTTACACGAAAAGGCAATGATCACATGTCGAACACTAGAACCCAAGATCAAAGTCAAGCACGACACGAAAGTAACTTCTATAACGTATATTCCATGTATAAAATTTGGAAAGTGTTTATTTTTATTTTTATTTTTTCTTATAATTTTTTTTGTTATGTGAAAGTTATATATTATCTAAAATTAATAAGTTGGATCTTGATTTATTATGAATCTTTGTTTTCTCATTGTTAATTAAACAACACTGTTAAAGTCTTTATTAAATTATATATTAATTAAATCGTATGTTATTGTAAATATTTCCTCATTGTTACTATAGCCATTTAACAACGAACGATATATAGTATATCATGTGAATATGTTGATTCAAATAAAAGAATAATTCGAAACAACATTTCTCTAAATATTTTCCAATGTACGTGTCAAACTAGCTAACAATATATATTGACCAACGACTTCTCATAATTAAGGACATACATTTTCTTGACCTTTCTTTGCTATTTCTTGGATTATGTCAACTTCATCAATACAATATAAAACCCTAATTTCATCCCACCTCCTACACCAACAAATCACCAATTTTCAAATAATACTTTCTTTCTTTCTCTTACTTTTGATATGAACCAAAACAATATCTTCATGACAACAAAGATGTCTCAATTACTTTTAAAGCAACTGGGACCACGTTTATTCTCCACAACAAGTTTTACACATTCCATCATCGCCGAATCCTCTAGGATTCCAAATGGAACCACTGTCGGAATGACTAGGGTTTTAAACATGCATGTTCGTAATTGGAGCACACATGCTTCTTCTGAATCTGGCATGGACAAAAAAGAGAACACTAATACAAAAGCGATCTCAAGCTATTGGGGTGTCGCACCACCATCGCTCACCAAAGCCGACGGGTCAGCTTGGAAATGGAATTGTTTTCGGGTAAGTAGTCGTCCCATGTTAGTTTTATAGACTAAACAATAATCGTAGATGGAAAAAACACCAATAGTTCTTATAGTATATTTAGAAATTTCTTTTTTATAGCTATGAGTAGACAAACTAACATTAATTTTTTTTAATGTAACAGCCATGGGAAGCTTATCAAGCGGATACATCGATTGATGTCACGAAACACCACAAACCAGTCACATGGAATGATAAGATCGCGTTTTGGATAGTTCAAGCACTCAAGTATCCCACCCATTTCTATTTTCAGGTATGCATATGTATAATATAGGTAAATAATACATAAAAAACATTTGAAATATAAAATGGAAAGAAAAATAAACAAATAAATAAATAAAAGAAAATTTACTTAAAGAAAGTACTTAAATTTCCAATGATTTTTCTTATTGATTTTTTTTTCTTTATTTTCATTAATTCAAAACCAAAAACCCACACATCATATTTGACCTAAAACATGTTAAAATTATGGAATTTCAATGATACTTTTAGCAACAACTTTTTTTTTTGTGTAAACTTGTAACAATTTCAATTTTTTACAGAAAAAACATATACACCATGCGGTTCTACTTGAAACGGTGGCTGCGGTGCCTGGAATGGTTGGAGGGATGTTGTTGCACACAAAATCATTACGCCGATTTGAGCAAAGTGGTGGATGGATCAAAGCCCTATTAGAAGAAGCAGAAAACGAGAGAATGCATCTCATGACATTCATTGATGTATATGAACCAAAATGGCATGAAAGAGCCCTAGTTTTTGTAGTGCAAGGAGTATTCTTTAATGCATACTTCTTAGCGTATTTGGCATCACCAAAGCTTGCTCATAGGATCACCGGCTACCTTGAGGAGGAGGCAGTGAATTCGTATACTGACTTCTTGAATGATTTGGAGAAGGGAGTAATGAAGGATATTCCAGCACCAGCCATTGCTATTGATTATTGGTGCTTGCCGCAAAATTCAACATTGAAAGATGTAGTGAGGGTTATACGAGCGGACGAAGCACATCATCGTGATCTTAACCATTACGCATCGGTACGTATGTCTTGCATGCATGCAATCATTATAGGAAAATATGTCGATATTATTCTCTATTTATAATTAAAACAATTCAAATTATAATTAATCTTTTAATAATATTGTTTTTTTTTCAGGATATTCAATGTCAAGGACATGAATTGAAGGAGTATCCAGCGCCAATTGGGTATCACTAAAGATAGCGATCTACACAAGTTGTTTAATATAATCGATAATTTGAATGTAGTGGTCGTGGGTATAAATCCAGATTTAGAAATTGTATTTTAATTAAAAGGCTGTATTTTATACTGCATATAAATTATGTTTTTGGATATAAATTATTAATGATGTTTGTAATTCAATATTATGTTCAACTTAGCATATAGATAATGTGTGTGATTAATATACTTAACATCACTTTTATTTACACATAAGGATAAATTTGTTACATGGTTCATTCAAATTATAAAAAAAACATTTTCAATTCAGACAAGACATCATAAATAGAAAACATAAGGAAAAATGACATATAGACCCTATAATGTTTTTAGGGTTTACATATTTAGCCACTTAACTTATTTTTTAGCCTAATAAGGGAATGAACTCATTTTTGTCGGGTCTATTAGGTCATTTTGGAAGAATTGAAGGGGTCATCCGGTTAACATTTGTTGACAAATTTTTTGATGTTGACTTTTAATTTTTCCTACCCTTGGTCCCACATATCTCTCTCTCTCTCTCTCTCTCTCTCTCTCTCTCTCTCTCAAGAACACAATCTACCACGCATCCACCATCGTGTTCTTCCTCTCAACTTTCCTCTCAAAGAGTTTACCCAAACACTAACATCTAATAAATATATCTAATAAATATTTTTTCTATTTCTATTGAATTTCATTCGTTTACACAGTAAATTTACCATTGTCCATACCTATTCTTTTACAATAAATTCAATAGATTTCACAATTGAAAAGAGAATAATTTTTATCCTCTGTATCCCGTTTTCATCTGCCTGCTAATTCCATGAGTTGGTTATAATGAAAATCAAAGGATAATCTAAAGAAGAGAAAATCGCAAGAATCAAGGGGTTTACTAACGAATCAACGAGATTTAGATGATAATAACGCATACAACCAAGGGATTCCAGCTCCGATCACTACCCTAACCCCGCTCTCTCTCCTCCTCCCACACGTCTGTCCTGAATCAAAACACAGCCTCGACGCGCCATCAAACATCATCGTCCGCCTCAACAACCGTGAATTTAGGGCTAGAAATAGAAGATTATTGGTGGAAACTGGGCAAGAAAATCAGTTGTAGTTTTGAATTCTACAAGTAACGACATCAACAATCCAACATCCAAATACGGTAATTATTGAGGGTGGGCCAATACCTGAGCAAGGAGTGTGTCAGTAAGATCCTGGAAAGGAGAATTTGACGAATTTTCCGGCAAAACGGAGACCGTCTGATCTGACAGTACCATGGGCGATGGTTGATTTTGCATACGGTTTTGCAATGCTTTCAAGGTGTTCGACAAATGTTCCCAATGGTGGATCTTTTGGTGATACTTGGTTTTGAGTTTTAATAGCACCTTCTTCTTTGTTTCTGTGTGTGCTTTCGCTTCAGCTGCAAGATCCGGAGGCTGATCAGCCGATGCGCTGGTGGAATCAAGACGGGGGCGTTTGAGACGTTTGTAGACGAAACCATCGTCGTTTACCCATTTAGCCACTTACACAGATCATCGATGACATGGCATGGCTGATGGGGCAAATCTTGATGATGTGGCATTGAAACCTGCTATAATAGGTGAAGGTGACTAAAAAGGCAGGTTGCTCACTACTTCGTTTCCTTATAAAGACACAAAATAAGTTAAGTGGCTAAATCGATAAACCCTAGAAACATAATAGGGTCTATATGTCATTTTCCCGAAAACATAATAAGGAAAAAACAAAAAACGAGCCTTACACCATCGGGTATGGGATGGAAACGACAATGTTTTAACAAATTAGCATCGTTGTTGGGGACATGGTCTTCCTAATTATTTATGTTGGGATTTTTGTGAGCATGTACATCTCTCTAAAACAATAAAAAACAAAAAGTATGGCTCAGAAATGAACAATCCTTATATTAAAGATGAACTTTCTTAACTAGTCCAATTGGTTATGATCATTGGAAATAACCAACGTGTGCATCCCATACCTATTCCTTGTGGATTTTGCATTCTAAATGGACATCATACCAACATGTTTCCATATTTACAATGAGAATGGGAGGAATCACTACAAGAAGACTGGGCAACAGCGACGACACGTGTCGCTGCTAAAGGGTGGGCGTGTCGCCGCTAATACCTTTAGCGGCGACATGTCGCTGCAAATGCGTCGCCTGTATTGTTTCATCGCTAATACACTAAATGTTGCCGCTAATACTCGTTGTCGCCGCTAATACCTAGCGTCGCCGCTAATACTAATGGTCGCTGCTAATAGTGTGTCGCCGCTAATAACATAGTGTCGCCACAAAAGCTGTCGCTACTAATACTCTTTTGATTTTTTTTAATTTATTTAACATTAAATTTATAATCAATCCAACTATTAATCCATATAGCATTTGAGAAATCTGATATCTTTTTATAGAAATATTAATACATATTATACAATCAATCCAAACTATTAATCCATACCACATTAAGTATTCTTCCAAATTACAAAACGTTTTATAAAATCCTAAAATAACTACTCGTCCTCATCATCATGTCCTTCATTATTTGGTGGCAGCAATGAACGAACCCACTCTTCCAATGTTGCAGAACAGGCCTGGTCCGGTAGTATTGTTTGGAGCATTTGCAGCTATAAAGAAAACAAAATATATTAACAACATATCAGAATAACATTATAATTAATTCTACCATTCTACAAAATATCAACATATCAAATACACTTAATCATACATCTACTTTCCATTATAGCATTGTACTTTCCAAAACTTACCAAACTACAAAATATCAACATATCAAACCATAACCAACATATCATTATACCATTCTTTTTTCCATTATAGCATTGTACTTTCCAAAAATTACAAAACTACAAAATATCAATATATCAAACCATAACCAACATATCATTATACCATTCTACTTTCCATTATAGCATTACTTTCTAAAAATTACCAAACTACAAAATATCTACATATCAAATCATAACCAACATATCATTATAACATTCTACTTTCCATTATAGCATTTACTAACAATTACCTGTGATTGTGGTTGTTCTTGTGTCATTGGTTGTTGCTGATCATACATAGACACAATAGTAGGGGGTTTACACTCAATGCCTCTGATATGTCTGCGTCGAACACCCAATATTCTTTCAAAACAATCTTTTATATCAGTTGGTGCTAGACCGCTTGCCTCAGAAGTAGCTTGGGTTCGTTGGTTTATCTCTTCGAGTAAAGCATTCTGTATTTTTTAAAAATAATAAAAATCATAAAAATTAGATTACTAAATACCTTCGACAATATAAACACTTATATGAAAAATACAAATTAACCACTTACGTATTGTTGCTCGACTGCAGGACTATAAAATACCCCTTGCCGATTGGAATTAGCTTTACGAAAAGCTTCGATTCGACTGATATCCTATTTAACATTAAAATTTAGATTAGTTATACTTTAAATAAATATTTAAATATGTCATAACTTACTTCTTTGAAACATGCATTGCTATATGAGCTCGACCCCCTCTGTTTACAACTACTTGTTTTGCACGACATTCCTTGTTTGACACCGAACGCCTTAAAAATTCTGGCGTTTGAAATTGTTCGACTGCCTTCGCCCAATTTTCATGTGACATTCCGTTAGGGGGGTTGTTTAGTGCGGTTTGGATATCTGCAGGCCCCCCGATTTCCTTAAAATAAGCATGAGCTTTACTTTTTCGGCCTCTGTAAACTTTTGCAAGACTCGAATCAATGCTCCACAACAATTGAGCACGCTCCGGATCCATGTTAACCTTATCCAAATCAAATTTATTCTGCAAAACACAAAAATTTTAGTTAATTAAATAACGATCACAACTAAACTTAAAATTGTATCCAAGTTACCTTTAGATGAACAACTGTTGCGTTGCTTAAATCGGGGGAAACATTGTCCCAACCAGATACGTTGAAAGGGACATTGTTCCACAAATACCTCCCAATTTCATGGGTGAACCAATTACCACGCTTCCCGACAGGGGAATATGTGATCTCCCTGTCGAAATCCAAATCTATGGGCTTTCCCTTATTTGCCCTTATTAACTTTCCCAACTCAATATTTTTTGACATGCCCCTCCTTTTTTTAGGAAGCTCGGTTGAAAAAATACAATTAAACCTATTAGTCACGATAACTTATTATAAAATAATAAAAATAGTTAATAAATATATCATAATAAAACTCACCATCTTGTTCGTGCTGACCACGACCAAAGCCTCCTGGAGGTGGTGGATCCCTGGCCCCATCACCTCCGTGTCCAAGCCCCATAACATCAGCCATCATGGCCAAGAGTATTGCCCAAGTAAACCTCATCTGCAATATAAATAAAAGTTAGTTACCCTGCGAAATTGTAAGATATACAATATAGACAAACAACATAAATAAAAGTTAGACAAACAATATGAATTAAAGGTACATTTCAAATAAAGTTTCTATTACCAAAAAAAAAATTGTTTTTTTAATCAGAATCTTGATCATATACTTCAATGTCTTCTTCATCCGTATCATAATCAGAATCGCCATAATCATAATCGGTCTCTTCATCGGAAACATTATCGATTCTACCCGTTGGCGGAGGTACTTCAGTCTCGTCTTCATCATCATAATCAGCATTGTTTTGAGCTACATCAACATTGTTTTCATAGTATTGTGAGAAGTCAATAAAAAGTCTAGCTCCAGATGAAGAGTTGGTTTGAACTATGTCAACATTTTCGGCCTCCACATTGTCGACATCTTGGACAGAGTCACTGTAAGCATTTTGGACACGAGGATTGTCAGATGGTATAACCCAAATATTTTGATGATTAACATGCTCGACGACACAATAAGGGTTGTTGTTTTGGTTTCTTCGATGATTAACAGGCCGGCAGATGTAGAATACTTGTTTGGGTTTTGAAGCATATATGAGTTGATCATCTTGGTACGCTTCTTTTTCTGTGTCGATACTTATCAAATTATCATCAGGAATATCTCCCGTATCAAACCACTTGCACCGAAATATTACAGTTGAATAATCATATGGATATTGCACCTCCCTAATCTCTTCTAACTGGCCATAATATTTCTCTCCATTCTCACCAACCGCTAGAACCCCAGAGTTTTGCGTTTTGCGTTGTGCATCACGACTAAGTACCATAAACCAAACACCGTTGACTATGCACGCAGTGTAAGTATGAACATCCATTTGTGAACCCATTGAAAGGGCTGACAACTCTTTGTGGAATTTAGGAGAGTTTTCTTTTTCCATCTGATAAACCTATTAAACATATGTTGATGTGTTATGTATTCTTGATTCATTAAATTTATGAAAGACATTTGTTTGTTAATTATGATTACCTTTTCAAGAAACCAGTTAGGAAATTCGGTCTTTTCGTCACTTTCAGGATGTTCAGATTTGAATTTTCTATATTGATGAAATATATATATATATATATATATATATATATATATATATATATATATATATATATATATATCAACTCTAACTTGCACAAGATTCTAATAATGTCTTCCTTTGCTTTCCTCATATCCTCCACCTTTAGTGATCTGGAGCAAATTTGCTTGAAAAAACATACAAAGATCTACAATTGGTGTAGAAGTTTCTTTATCCAATAACGCTCTAACTCCAATCGGTATCAAACGTTGCATAAGAATGTGATAGTCATGAGATTTCAACCCAATAATGTTAGTATCATTATCTACCACTTGCTTACTAATGTTAGATCTAAACCCATCAGGAAATTTAACATCTCTTATAAATTGACAAAAGATTTTGCGGTCAGGTTTCTTGAATGAATAGCTTGCATGTGGTCTAGTGAACTTGTTACCCCTTTTTTACAACCATTGATTACGCCGGATATTCAGATTTTTCAAGTCCTCACATGCATTTGATGTGTCTTTACTCTTATCATTCATCATAGAAGTACCCAAAAGACTCTCACCCACATTTTTCTCGACATGCATCAAATCTATGTTGTGTTTCAGCTGTAGAGAAGACCAATACTCGAGCTCGAAAAAATATGCTACGTTTCCACCAGTTCAACTCGAATCCTTGCCGATCCATGTTTTCTTTGAGAGTGTTAGGATGTTTACCCGGTTTACGAAGTATTAGACGACCTAGTTGCTCTTGTATGTCTTCATTAGTAAAGTGTCTCGGAGCGGGTCTTGTCTCTGGTTGCCCATTAAATTTCAAACTCATCCTTAATGGATCATCAGCATCTAAGAACCGACGATGACCAATATAAACGACTTTATTTACTGCACCGTACGAAGGAGTGTCTTCATTGCAAGTCGAGCATTCTCTATACCTTTGTCCGCTCCAGCCTAATAAACTACTACGAGCTAGAAAGTCGTTTATTGTCCATAACAACATAGCTTTCATCTTCAAGAATGTGTTTGTCGCTGCGTCTTTAATGCGTATGCCTGATTTCCATAAAAACTTAAGCTCTTCCACTAACGGCCTAAGGAAAACATCTATGTCCTTTCTAGGCGCTTTAGGGTGGGAATCAACAAGGCCAACATGAATGATGACTCTTTCATACAAAGCCATGGTGGCAGATTGTAAATGGTGAGTACAACCGGCCACGTACTATGCGGATTTCACATGTTACCAAATGGATTAAAGCCATCAGCTGCCAGCCCTAGTCGTACGTTGCAAGGTTCACTCGAGAAGTCAGGGAAATCTACATCAAATTTTTACCAAGACTCTCCATCAACGGGATGACGCATCACACCATCTTCTGATCTCCCAGTACTATGCCATATCATATTTTTGGAAGTGTACCGCGAACAATACAAACCGCGTAGTCTAGGGGCCACTGGAAAGTACCGTAACACCTTATGAGCCACTTTCTTACCCTTGGTGTTTTTATCAATCCACCGACTCTCTTTACAAACGGGACAAACTTGCAATGACTTGTGTTCCTTCCAGAAGAGAAAACAATCATTTTTGCACACATGAATTGACTCGTA